CCATTCCTTTTTTCCTCTACCCTGGGATTTTGTAAGACATATTTGAGTGAAGAAATCTGGGTAGAGCAAGAGCTCCTTCGTCTATACATGAAAGAGAGAGTATCTGTCTCTGCAAAGTAGAAGCAGGAAAGTAGGAACTTGGTGGTGAATAATTGTTTTGTATAAGAAATTGCCTTGTTCCAGGATTGAAAGAAAGCAGAACCACCAAAGCATCAGCCAGTTTATCTTTGACTACTTTTAGGGTACAAACAGACATTTGGGGAGATTAGGGGGAAGTTAGATTGCATTAAAAATGGCCACCTGATCTAACTTACTTTATCCATGTGTGGACCTTACACTTAGATTCCTTGTTAAGTTGATGTAAGTGCAAACTGTACAGAAGTTTGAGGAAAGTTAGATTGGTCAAAAATGGCCAACCCAATCTAATTTAACTGTACCTTGGAGGTGTGCTAAGTTAGAATGGGTATGAGTAAACCAATCTAACCGAACTTCTGTGCAGATCCCCCGTGCAGCCCTAGGCTGGGAAAGCCCAACCAGTAGCCCCAGCTCTGAGCTGTGCTTTTACTACTCCCAATCTGGTACCAGGCTATTTTTAGCCCTCTGGCTCCCCCCTACCAAGGAGTATCCAGCTTGGCCCACCCCACACCTTGACCCCGCAAAACCCCAATACTGCAAGTCACTCCCAGGGCTGGCTTTATTGGCATTTGCCAAAGCCAGGAGCCAATGGAAGTCAGGGTTGTGGGGAGGGGCAGGTGGAATCAAGGGGATTCATTCAGCAGGGAGATTGTTCATCTTGGGGTGGGAGACAGTCGGGAAGAATAGCTCCTGGTCCAAGTGGGGAGAAAGCCCCCCCCGATCTCCCCAAACCCCCTGCCACAGAGCCACCAGCTCCCCCTATTCTGTGAACCCCACCACCAAGCTGCCAGACCCTCCTGATCCCCTGCATCTCCCTCCACCCCAGCTTACTCCAGTCAAGCTCCTGGGACTAGTGAATTCCATTAAACCTGAACCCAGGAGCAGTTTGCAGGATTGGAGGTGATTTAGCAGTATCACAGGAAGGCTGGGTGAGTCCAGGGAAGTTTAGCAGGATTGGAGAGCTTCTTTGATCCTGCCAACCCTCCCCATCCTCCCTGTAGACTCCACTAGCACCCCCCATACCCACCTGCTAGCCCCCCATCCTGCCTGCCCCTCCTTGTACATCATCTTATATCAGGGGCCATTTTTAACCCCATCTAACCCTCCCCAAAGTATTAACTGTAAAATCTGTATGAAGCCTAACTTAGGGAAAATAAGCAATTTTTTTAAAGACTGTTTTAACAGACCCCTCCAAGTTTCATATTTTTTAAAGTCAAATCTGATCAAAGTTGTCTTAGATTTGAATTATACTAGCTTACTTTTTAAAAGAATATGCTCTTTCCAAATATACTTGTGGCAGGGCACTTGATGTGCCTGCCACTTTAAGAGGTCAGGCAGCCTATTGAGCCAGGGATTGGTGGGGGTTAGGGCTAACTGGGGAGTCAGCTGACCTAGGGGCTGGCAGGTGAGGTTAGGCCTGATCAAAGGAGTCATCTGATTGTAAGGGAGTATCCTGATTGGACAAGGGCTGGGTGTAAACAGGGTATAAGGCCAGACCCTGAGAGCAGGGATGGTGGTAACATCTTGGTGGCTAGTGCAGGAATATCATCCAGCAGCGAGGCTGCAGCTCCCAAGTGCCAACAAGGAATAGGACATCTGGAGGCTTGGGTAGGAACTAAGGGGATGGAGGAGGTTCCTGGGGTCCAGAGCCCTGAGAAGGGGTTTGAGTGCCTGGGACCAGTTGAGGGGCCAGACAAGCCTGGAGAGAGAGAGGCCGAGTACACAGGGGCCTAATGAGAGACCACGTGAGTGCTGGGAGAGGGGCTGAGTATTGGTGGGTCTATTGAGGGGCCAGGTTAGCCCTGAGAGAAGGGCTGAGTGTCTGAGAGACCTGATGGAGGGTCTGGGTGTACCCCATGAGTGGGGCAGAGTACAGGGGGCTATTGAGGGGTCCAGTTGTGCCCAGGGAAGAAAGGCACTATGTAGCAAGACCTAGGGAGGGGTCTGGGCCTGTGGGGAGAGGGAGAGTGACTCATGGAGGGGCCTGAGAAGGTGGATCTACAGAGATGAGGGGGCTGACAGCCAGAGGACAGACCCTGAGAATCTCAACTGGCCTATGCTGGGTCCAGGACCCAGGAGGGGCCAAAGGGTGAGAGAACCCATTGAGAAGGGAGAGCCAGAGCTGGGAGAGCCTGAAGTCTTGACTGGCTTGGAGGTGGGGCCAGGGTCTAGGAAAGGCACAAAGGTCCATGGTGAGGGCCACAGCTGTGAGAGAGTAAGGGATCAGCTCTGGAATGACAATGGCTGGTGGGTCTGAGAGTGAGTTGGGCCAGAGATGAAGGACTTGGAAAGTAGGAGATGGAGCCAGGGTCAAGGAGCCCTGTGTTTAGCAGCCCAGGAGTGGCACTGGATATCTAGAGAGAGCTCAGAGAAGGGTAAGCAAGAGCAGGTAGGCTAGAAGACCAGTCCTGGGTAAGACCTAAAACTGTACCCTACTGGAGTTGGTCAGTGTGGTGGGGCTGCCTGTGGTGGGGCAGCCTCAATAAAATGCCACACATGGGTCACTCCAGGGAAAGATGAGGGTGCCAGAAAGTGTCAGCTCCCACTGCCTTGTGGGTGACCCTGCAGAGGCGAAAGGCTAGGGGAGCACACCCTGACACAAAAGCACTTGATATGGGTCCAGAGGCCCAGGGAAGGCCCAGGGAAGAATGGGACCATGTGGGTCCAGGGGATCATGTAGGTCCAGAGGCCCAGAGAGGGGCCGAGAAAAGCAGGGACCAGGTGGGTCCAGAGAGGGGCCAGGAATAGAGCACAGGACTGGATGGGGCCAAGGGCATGGAGAGTGGCCAGGAGAATACAGAGGAGCTGACACCTTAGAGTGGGCCTGAAGGAGAGACAGAGGGGTCCAGAAATTGGAGTGGGGCCAGAGGAAAGACCGACAGAATATCTACAAGGCATGAGACATGGTGTAGGGGATGCATGGACCTACACAATGGGCCCACAAATCCATTACCATAATCTGGGTGGTCATTACAATAAGATCAGGGCAGCCTCCTTCTTATCATTATATTTCCAACAAGGTGTGACAGAAAAGATAAGAAGGCACCCTAGGGGCAGAGTGGGCATGGTCACGGAGTTTCTAGGGGCATCATGGCCATCCCTGGAACTCAGATGTGTGACAGTGCTTCAAATCTTAATTTTCACAAGGTGTATTACTAAAGTACACTGCCATCAATCTTTCATTTTAGGAATCAAAAAGGGATATTCCTTTCTGGATAAGTTAAACATAAAAGTGCCTCTTTTATCTCCATATTCATATACACTTTAATGTGTATATTGTATATGTTTCTGTTAAAACAAATGATGTCTAATATGATTCTCACTATTTTAAAACACCTTAATTATAGGTTCCTAATTGCCTATTAAGTTCCAACAGTTCTGATGTCTCCTTATTTCTGTTATTTTTTGTTTCCAATATGGAAAATAAATCCACATTATTCTTCCACACATGTTCTAAAAGTCAAGGTTATTACTCTTATCACATGGGCAAAATAAATTTTGCACTGCAAGTCAGGATTGAAGGCTGTTAAGCCTTCTCTTCCTTTATTTGTTTTTTGTTTTTGTTTTTTCAGTTTTCCTGTAGACTGGGTATTAGATTGAACACGTGGAAGCACTGCTTCCTTTCCATTATATGTATCCTACAGTGATACTTGTTATGGCTGAAACTGGGCTTTGGTAAGCACTGTGTCTTTAAAGAGGGGGCAAGAAAAAGTTCTGGGGCCAAAGTAAAACTTGGGGTATATTTGAAGAGTTTTTAATCTAATTGCAGTTAGGTGTCCAAGTTATTTTCAAATATATCTGGCCCTATATCCTTTGTTTCTTGAATGAACACATTTTTTTCTATGAAGTCTTTGTTCCATATGGTAACTTAAATTTGTGAAGAATTTCAGGGAAAAATGTCCTATTTGCTTGTCTTTATATATTCGTTTTTGATAGCAGTAATTATTCTCAGTTTGATATATGTTTTTAATATCTTCCATAAGGCCTCAATGCTGTGAGCATCAAAAATGGTATCACTTAGCTTTCAGCATTTGGCTTAGAAAAGTACATTTTAAGTAGAACTTTAAAAATGCAGTTTAGTTTTAATGGATACAAGTTTGTGACCCTACAAATTACTCAATTGACTAAAAATTGTGAAATTTTCTTTGAAAATAAGGGATGTATTTGGTAGCTGTGTTGGTCTGAGACAAAAAGAAATGCAAACATCTAGAACTCTTGGTTCAGAAACGATCCCTTTTGTTAGACCAACTAGGAAATTGCACAATACAATCTTTTTCTAATTTATATTTTTGTGTAATTTCATAGTTGGTCTAATAAAAGGGATCATTTCTGAACCAAGAGTTCTATATTTTGCATTACTTTTTGCATCAGACCAACATGGCTAGCAAATATATCCCTGAAACATGGAAGATGCTGAATTTTAGCCAATTTTGGATGTTAAACTTCATTGCAGAACAACAAGAAAGATTATTAAACCTCCTTGCTTGCCATCTGACACTCCAGGAAAGGAATGCTACCTGATCTACACAACAAAGAGCAACTCAACAACTCACAGAGACACTCTCATGGATGGAGGGGGACAGATTTTCCATCTCCAGCTCCCTCTGTGTAAAAATGAAGTTTATTTCCTACCTATGGGGACTTTTTACCATCTTTAATTTTCTCAGAGCCTGATGAAGGATGTTTGAGCCCAAAAGCTTGCAGAAATTTTTTTTTTTTGCAATTTCCTAGTTTGTTGTAATAAAAGGTATAATTTCTGAACCAAGAGTTCTAGATTTTTGCATTCCTTGAAATTAAAGCATTGGGATAGCCCACTTTGGTTGACAACTGAGAAGAATCATGATTTTGAAATGACAATCTTCCAGATCACATAGATGAGAGAACAGTCTGCAATGCTGTTGCTCCTGAAAAAGATGTTGATGGATTTCACGTTATCAACATCGGACGACTTTGTTTAGATCAGCCTTCTGTGATACCTGCCACAGCTGCTGCTGTTTGGGAAATTATCAAACGAACAGGTAGGAAACTAATCTTTATTGAAATGTTTGGGGTGGGAGGGAAAGGTTAATGATGCTGAGAAAGCATGTATAAATGTCAAGGAAATTATATGGTAAGATACAGGCTAGGTTCTATATCTGATTGATTGCAGAAGAAATGGTTAAAAGAATATTTAGAGAACAGTGAGAAGGAAACATGCGAAAAATTGAGCACAGAAAATAGTTATTATATAGAGTGCATACCTTCTGTTCTAGTTTATAATACATTTTTATGGTGATTGATATAATATGTACCTTTTTTATAATACTGAAAGCAAATACCTATACTACAGCTCGATTGAGCCTTAATTATTTGTAAAGATTAATAATATTAGTGATAAGCTGTAAAAAAGATAAACTTATGGACAAAAATCTCCTTTCTTGAATCAACCTATTCTACAATAGGAAAGAATAAAGAGTAGTTTCAACAGTATGGTGATTTCATAGTTCTGTTAATTAATACACCAATTTAACGTTTGAGAGAAACTTTCCTTAAGTAAAAACTTACTTGGTGTTTGAGACTGATGACAGATCTAATTAAAATGTACAGTTTTTTTTAGGTTTCTCAAACTAGTTGAATATGTTTTTGTTTTTTTCTTGTAAGGAATACAGACATTTGGAAAAAATGTTCTTGTAGCTGGAAGATCTAAGCATGTAGGAATGCCTATTTCAATGCTTTTACATACTGATGGAGGGCATGAAAGGCCTGGAGGTATGTCTGAGACTATTATTATTTGTTGTAATAACTTGATCAGTGAAGTGACCCAAAATAAAAGATGTACAAAAGATGAAGCTCATCCTTAACATCATTATACCAATACTTAAACAACATTTTCATAACTCCTAAAATATTTGGGTAAGAATTATTTGCCAGTTTTTATATAGGAGATTCCATACTAGAAATCCTAAGAAAATATTTGCAAAATTTTCCACCTTATTTTTCACACTTGAGAAGTTCAATACGGGTCTCTGTTCCTGAAATGGTCTCTGCCACTGTTGGAGACTCTATCCCTGGTGCCTTTAACCATCCTGGCCCCTCCTGGGCTCAGGCCTCTATTCCAACCTTAACCCATCTTGGGCCTAGGCCTGCATTCTCTGCACATCTTGGGCTCAGGCCTCTGTCTTCCAACAGACTCCACTCCTCCTGGGCTCCGGGTCCCTGACCTTAGTTCTCACTCCTCCTGGACTATGGGTCCCAGACTCTGCTTCTTGCTCACTCAAGCTACGGATCCCTGACCCCGGTTCTTGCCCCTCATGAGCTATGGGTCCCTGACCCTCTGCAGCTTTGGCCCTGCCTCTTGGCCTTGGCCCCTCAGGCCCTGGTCTTGCTCTCAGGCCAGTTGATACCTCCACTGCCCATACAGTCTCAATCCCTAAACCACCAATTTTTGCCTACCCCAGCTCAGGTGTTAATCAGGAGCCTTGCTCCAGCGCTTATGCTCAGGATCAACTCTCTCCATGATTTCCAGGTCAGACTGCCTGCCAAGCTCAGGCCCTGGGCTTATGTCCTGCAAGCCCAGTCCCTTCCATGTGGCTCCCACTGCTTTTCCTGTACCTGCCTTCCCTTAAAGTAGTAGGAGCATCAAGCTCCCTGCTACACAGTGCATTAGAACCCTTTTAGTCTCTTGGGTCTACCCCTTATGTACATTTTTCACTATCTTCACTCTTCCCTTATTTAGACCTATTTCTTCTAGTGTGTGATTATGAAAATTTGTAAAGGGAAAAACCAAATCCTTCTTATGACTGAAAACCAAAATAACTTTTAAGTTTCAAGGTTTATGTTAACTTGTAGTTTGAGGGAAATGTTTATGGTCCAATTGCACTCTTCATTAAAATAAGAGATTATAGTGGAAATACTGATGCTTCCTTAATCATAGCGGCACAGATATGCCGCTATAATTGTAATATAGAAAGAATAACAAATGCTACTTACTCTTAAATAAGATATTATGATATTGCAACATCAGTTCAATGTTAGAAACTGCAGAGGTATTGTTTATAAATGGGGCAAACATGGGTGGCGGTTAATTTCAGTCATATTTAATAGGAGCGTAGTGACACATATTATTAATGTAATTAAATGTTGAAAGCTTTGTACTAATCATATATTTAGTTTTTCTATTCAGCCTCTGTGGGAAGGTTGATATTTGAAACTTCTTTGCATGTTTATAATTATCATAATCAGGAAATAACTTCAGGCTCAACCTTGCTCCCATGAAAAGCAGTGAGATTTTTGCCATTCACTGCCCTGGAAGAAGAATTAGATCATTATACTGTGTGCTATGAAATTTAATTAAATAGGACAAACTTTCTAAGTTTCTATTTACAGTGTTGATTTAATTGGAGTAGCAAAGTTTTGATATTCAGAAGTCCTATACAATACTTCAGCATCTAGCAGAAATTTCAGAAGAATTAGTGATCTGATGCTCTTTGCTTCATTATAAAACAAAAATAATTTCTATGAAATTAGTTTGTCATGATTTGTAGTACAGTTTTGGTATGTGGTACTGTGACAACTGTAGGTGTTGTAGGGTTACTGCCACTGCCCTGAGCTTGTTTTCCTACAGGCAGTGACAGGGTGGACCTTGGCTTCCGATAACCTGATCTGCCAGGAAGTTGGTCTTATGTTTCTCGCCTGCCACTACTTTGATATTATATTGCTAGGAAGCAATGCCCAAGATGATCCTACCTGGTCTCAATCCTTGTTTTCTTCTGTGGGGCTCCAAACCTCCCCTTTACCCCCACATTAGCCTCTCCAGGTGATACACACAGTTCTCTGTGGCCAGATCTTAATGCTGCCTGTTGGTCTATTATTCTGCCCTCAGCCACCAGGGTGACCATCGGCTTTGGTTAGGTGCACACCCTTCCAGGGCTGGCCTTGGCCTGCTCTCAAATATCCCCCCCAAAAAAGAGAAAGCAAAACCCGACTGCTCTCAGTCTCTTTGTCAGACTCAGTCCATGTCCTCTTCACTTGGGGTCAGACTCTCATGTCCCAATCACAACAAAAAAAATCAGTCCAGTCATTGCTCTGAACAGGCCTACTCATGAGCATTCACAGTCCCAATGGGATCTCTCCCATGTGCAGTGAGGCTGTAACCTGGAACAGTGGTTCTTCTGGCCTCTCCCCTGGATCCTCAGATGTCACTCCACTCCAGGGATAATCAGAAACCTTGTGTGTGCAGGCCTCTGCCTGTCTCCTTCTCAGGGTCACACCCACAGCATTTCTCCAGCAAGTTTCACAATGCTTGCCTGCCGGGATGCTGAGCTGCTCCTCTGTCTGCGGCTTGCAGGGAACTGACCCCCCCCCCCCCCGGCTGCCCCTCTCCGGGGCCGGAAATACCTCTGAGCAGCCTCCCTTCTCCAATCTGGAGCGAGATGCTGCTCTGGAAGTGTGATGATTGCTTCTCTTCCCTTCTGGTCTCCAGCTGCAGCCCTGCCGGCCATCCATGCTGTATGTGTTGCTTGCTTTCGCTTTCCCTGTCTGTTGCTGCCAACTGCTTTTCTTCTCCTAACCTACCCTGCCCAGCATGTAAGGCACCTCGGCGCTTTTGTTTACTCTGTGTCACTCGTTCACAGGTACTTTATCTTTCAAGCCAGTTGAGTCCTACATCCTCTTTTCTTTCACTTGTAATTTGGATTAGTGCTTATTCTCCCCTGATAGAAATTGATATTTAATTTAAACAAACCTAGCCATGTGAAGTTTGTAGAAACAACCCCTTGAGTTTATTTGTACCTTGCAGACTTGTTTTACTTCATGATAATCTTCCACAGTTCTGTTGTGAACTTGATGGGTGGGCACTATTTCCTGAACATTGTTATTCATGTACCAGCATTGTCACTTTTGTCACTGATGCGGAATATTTGAAATCATACCAGAAAAAAAAAGTAGCATTTAGATAACTGCATAAACAACTGAATAGTTGTATACTGACCCTTTCATGGCACAAGAGTTTCCAGTGAAAAAACAAAGGGCTAGTTTTACATTTTTTTTTCGGTATTTACTCAGTTCTTTAAATTTCCTCATGCAGACTCTACCTGTTTCATGATTTCATGGCAACAATATTTGTACATTGTAATAAAACTTCCTTTGTGCAACTTTCTTAAAACATAATATGTTAAATTAAGAAAAATATTAAGTTGCTAACATGTTTTTTTATGACCAGTGAATGATTTTGCCATCTCCTGTATTCTCTTCAAAAACTGAATATCTGTCACCTTAGTATTCAAGTAAAATGTGGTATTTCATGCTGTACTGTATGCCTGTGTGAAACAGCTAGTATTTGCTTTGGATTCGGCTGATTCGAGGGACAGTGATTCGATTCGGTGATTTGATCACTGTTCCGAATCAATTCGGCTGAATCACACAGGCCCATCCCCAACCTGCTCTCCCAGCCCCAGTAATGACTGCCCTACTGGGCCCCAACTCCCGGCACTTTGAAAAAAAGTCCCGACTTACTGGGTGCTGTCAGGTGGGGGGCGATCCCCACTGCTCCCCACTGCCCCATGCTGTGTGGGGGGCTCTGTCCTGAGCCCCCATCCCCCGAGAGGCCGCCCCCCCCTTGCCTTCTCCCCCCCCCCCCCCTTGGCTGTCCTGCCCACCTCAACTCTGGCCCTTTAAGGAAAAAAAAAACCCCGAACTCACCAGTTCCTGCCTGGTGGGGGTGATCCCTGCTGCCCCCACTGCCCCGCACCACGTGGGGGCCTCTGCACAAGCCCCCCAAAGCCCCAAGGCCACTGCAGGAGCTGGTGAGTACCAGGTTTTTTTTCAGTGTTTTTTTTCTTAAAGGGCCAGACCTGGGGCGGGCAGGGCAGGGCAGCTGTGGGGGGGAGTGGACGGGGGCTGGGGCTGGGAGAGCAGGCAGGGGATGGGGCCTGGCAGGGATCTCCCCATGGTCCCCTTCCCCCTCCTCTAGCCCCCACTTCCCCGCCCCGCTACTTACCAGCTTCAAGTTCGGCTCCAGCTCCCTGCTGCAGCAGTATTGGGGACTGCCCAAGTAATCGAAGCTCTCTGAATCTTTTCCTAAGATCTGGAGAGCTTCAAATTGATTTGGACCTTTTTATTGGTCCCCTGATCCAATTCGGATTTGGAGATTCGGCCACTGAATTGGGCTGAATCTCCTCTGAATCAAATCACTGCCCAAAGCTTCGCACAGCCCTCCTGTACCCTACATAATATATTGTTATCCAGTTAAGCCTTCTAGAAAGGAAGCATTATCTTATTTGGTCTTTGAATGTTTACCCTGTATGGCCGCACTCATATGAGCATGGACATTTGGTTCCCCAGGGACAATTAGCAGCGTCATACCTTGTGCCACCACTAGTTGTCCCAAGGGAATGCATGTGTCATGCGCCCTCTGGTGCATGACAAGTTACCTTAGGTGGGGCGGGAGAGGCTGGAGCCAGCACTGGGCTGGCTTCAGGAGCCTTGCCTAGGATCCTGGGGGCCTCCTAGTGCTGCAGCAGCAATGATCCTGCTGCTTCGAGTCTGGCCTGCAGCTGGAGCATGGCTCCCTCTGTTTTGGCTCAAGTTTTGAGTGGTGCATGCTGTCCCCTCTGCTTTTTTTTTCTGTGGGTTTGGGAAACTGTAGGTTTGCCTTTTGGACTCCAAGATATTACTGTAATGTATTTCTAGTAGATCACACAGAATGATTTCCCTCCATACCTAATAACAGTTTCTTATTAGATGATTAAATTACAGGGACAGAGGACTGGATTCTGTCTTATGCTGTGGCCCCTTTACTCTGGCTCCATAGGCAAAGGCGGGAATTCCTTATGGCATGTAGTCAAGCAGAATAGTCTTGGATTGCTTCTGCACAGCTGGTGCTGTGCTAGGTGATTCTGGGGGGAAATCATGAGGCACAGAATATTATTTAGAGGAGCCTTGATCTCTAGCTACATCTGATGCACCCAGTGGCTGCTAGCCATGTTGGTTTCTATTGGCCTCCTTCAAGTTCACCTCAAGCATAGCCAAAAATTAGGTCCCTAATTAGGGGGAATTGTAAAACAAGGGGAGTGTTGCTGCTTTATATATATGTATTGAAATAAATTAACTATAAATATTAGTGTGTTAATTTTTAAATAAAAATATGGGCTAAAGTATAGACAGGAAATATGAAATTGTGTGTTAAGACAATAAAGCAGAAAGAAAAGTTAAAAATAATTTGTATACACACTGTGTAGACATAAAGGCTTAAGAGCTATTTGTAATCTGTAGCAATATTTGCAGTCAAATGCAGTTTCCTTTATAATATTTTTATTATTTGCTGAACAACAAGCTTATTAATTAGAGCAAGGAGACAAAGTTTAAGCTGCTATGAGAAGCTTTCCTGAATTTTCTAATTATTATTAAATCCAGGTAATAATTATAACATGGCCATAACTTGTAATATTTTTCGTTTAAAAAAAAAATTGAAAGTCTAATTTTATGTATGGTGTTTCTCCCTATTTTGACATTTGCCCCGCTACATTAAGGATTAAACTATTATCGCTGGTATGTTTTTCTTGATAAATTCAGTGAAGGCACCATCTCAAGTCAAAGGTGAAATGCATAAGAATATCTGCTTTTCTCATGTTCTTGTACAAACTAGCTATAAACAGAAACTGAGAAGCCTCTAGTTAAAACATCAAAATGGAAAGTTAAAATGTTGTTAAAACCCTATGTCTTTAACTGGAAAATGAAGTGTCTTAGTGACTTAGGTAAGACTTTAATTTCTTTTGTTGCAATAAAAAAATGGAACACATCCTATTTAGATAAAATGGTAATTAATAAATGATACTAGTTGTAAAACTTTGTTCCTATTAATAACAATTTTAAAAGAGCGCAGTTGTCCTGATTATTTTAAATGTTATAATTTGAATTATACCATATTTGACTCTACCACCTATTAGCCAAGTACCACCTACTAAGTGACTTCCAAAAAGTAATATGTAAATCAGAATTCTTTTATCTTTCTGACTTTCTATAGTAGCCATTTCCTTCTTCCATTTCTTTACCTGTCCACACCAAGTCAACAGACCAGTAATGATGTCCACAAGCCACTCACACCAGTCCTTTCTAGAATACGTTGAGGTGTATTCTGGGTGTTCTTAAAAAGCATTTATAGCCCAACCAGATACAGTTTTCATGAGGTTTCCTGGTGTTGATATGTGAGAAAAGTGGGGAAAAAACAGCTTGACTTGCTTGACCAGCTGAAATGAGAATGTGAAGGTGGAAAATATTATATTGTTTATGTATATGATATAGATTTATTTGTAAAATTTAAAAATATTATTGTTCTTCATTGACTTCAGAATGTAAACATAGAACCTCACACGCTCTTGAGCTCTACTCTGAACTCTAATCACGTTCAGAGTAGAGCCATACTTTAAATATTTATGAACTCCTGATGTAACATTTCTTGTTCATCAAACCTAAATCACTATTTTATATATCTTCAAAGCTTCTTTCTCTAAAGTGAGTACTCTTTCACCAAAAAAATCCAAGAAGTAAGCAACACACACACTAAAGAAATATAGAAATGTTAAATGCAAATAATCAAAATGATGAAGATTGAAACTAGATGGCATCCATAGCTTCATTAAATTATTTTGTAAAAACAGAAGAAAAAGATGAGTGAAAAGTCCTAAGTACTCTGAGGGAATTTTCCTTCCTAGCTTTATCCAATTAGATGCTATCAGAAGCTGGAATCTCTGTGATGAGAATCTCCTTCTTTTAACTATTTGGAAAATTGTACAAACTCTTTCTTAACAAATCTGAATTTTGGCATTGGGTTACTGAGTTTGATTCAGCTGTGGTAATTTGTTTTTAGAAATCTTTTTTTCTCCTGTAGATGGCAACACCTCCTTGTCTGATCCATTTGATAGGAAATTGATGGTTTCCTCAGAGAGGAGATTATGTTCTCCACATATCTAATAA